CTCACTGGTCCGGAAATCATAAGGGAAACGACTGAAAAGATCAATCAAATTCGAGAGCGACTGAAAGCCTCAAGAGATAGACAAAAGAGCTATGCCGACAAAAGACGAAAACCCTTGGAATTTCAGGTTGGTGACCGCGTCCTACTGAAGGTCTCACCATGGAAGGGCATGATACGCTTCGGGAAGCGCGGAAAACTAAACCCAAGGTACATTGGACCCTTCGAAATTACTGCAAGGATTGGTCCAGTAGCGTATAGACTTCAACTTCTATTCGAACTTAGCAAAGTACATCCGGTGTTTCATGTATCTAACCTGAAGAAGTGTCTGTCCGACGAAACTCTCGTGATTCCACTCGAGGAAATCGAACTGATTGAAAATCTTAACTTTGTGGAAGAACCCGTCGAGATCATGGATAGGGAAATCAAACGAACTAAGCAGAGTCGCATACCAATAGTGAAGGTTCGCTGGAATGCTAAGCGGGGACCCGAATTCACTTGGGAGCGAGAAGATCAGATGCAACAAAAGTACCCGCATCTCTTCCCTAGTCCATAGACACTTACCTTGTAAATAATTTCGGGACGAAATTCCCTCTAACAGGGGGATGATGTAACAATCCGATATTTCGAATCAATGTAACGATCCAAAGTCAAGTTTGGTAACCTATCTTAATATAATATGAATAACGTCAAAAATGAAATGTTCAAAAATCTCAATGTGAATGTACTAAGTGGTAGATATCGTATCAAGGGTTTCAAAAATATAAAGGACACAAAAATCCGAGTTATAACAAAGAAGTTATGACCAATCGAAAATCCGCAACAAAACCGGCAAAACACTATTACACATAAAACGCGAAATTTCAATAAAATACTTTTTAGCCTTAAGTATCTAAATGAAAGTCGTAGATATCATTAAACCGTAAACGTACATAAAAAGAACGTCCAAATCTGACTTCGTATGAGTAAGTTATGATTTTTCGAAGTTTCGGAATAGCGGTAGACAGCTAAAAACTCGAAATAGAGATCGAGCGATTTTTAGCAGACACAACCTAAACGAGAATCGAAGGTCTCATCAATAGTTGTACAACGGTAAAAAGACAGACGAAAACGGACGTCGGATGAAGAAGTTATGGATTTTTAACGGACTTTTCCAGTCCCGGCCTGTTAAGAATATAATATTAAAAATAAATCAAAACTAGCCGACGGAACCTAAACGAAAGTTGTAGAGTATTTTCCCACACCTACGCGTGGATGTAAAGAACGTCAAAAACGGAGGTCGTACGATACAGTTACGGATTTTACAAGTTTTGGACACAAAACTCGAGGCTGGTCCGAAGGAACGCCCTGCGTTCCGAGTGAACGCCCCGCGTTCGTAAGGCTAGGCCTCGGTTCGTCCACGTCGCTCCGGGTCACATCAGGGTACTCCGTCCGAGGCTGAGGTAAGCGATGACGTCAAAGCACTACGGAACGCCCTGCGCTCCGAAACGCCATGCGTACGAGGAGTCAGCCAGCCCTATAAAAAGGGTGCGAAGCCTTCCGGAATTATTTGCTTTTCTCTCAATTCTTTCACCTCGAAACACCTCGCAAGCCCCTCTAAACCACCCCGAAGCTCCGGTATTATCCCTAGCACGCAACGCGAGTCCCGACGCTCCCGAGATTCCCGAGAAATCAGCTTTTTTTTAGTCGAAATTATGCTCGAGTTTTAGTCTCAACTTCTTCAAGCCACCACTTCAATCAAGTGAGTTCATACCCCCATTTCTATGCTTTTAAATGCTTTTGAACACATTACGGGGGAGAATACAAGTAAACACCCGGTTATTCCCGAGTGAAAATATGGAATATTTTGCTATACTTTGCATGCAGCTATTTTAACTATCAAATGGAAGTGTTTAACATACAAAACATCTTACTTTACTTTACCTTCACGGGATGAAAAATGAGTATAAATATCATAAGCTCTATTTATACGTTTGCATCATATCAAGGGTAACCACTTTCGTTATGACATCTTTATGCATACAAGAACATACAAATCATTTTATGCCTTTATTATCATTGTGAAAAAGGATAATCATTTCAGAAACAAACATATTCATTTTAATACGGGACTTAATTGAGAATTCGTGAGGCATTCATCTTCAATATACCTTTTAAGGTACCACTAGAAGTCCTGTTTACAACCAGAATCTCCCGTCCGGAGAACGTGACAAGTGTGTATAGATCTATACGGGACTAATGATCTCGCGCCCTGACTGCTAGCTATAGTCCTCGGGGTGACAAGTGTGTGCATTTGTTTGCTCGGCTGGGAATCAAAAGAACCGCCGCCACCACCGTGAGGTGGTGGCTGCCATCGAAAAATCATAGTTGTCACCGCCGTGAGCCACCAGGTGGTGGCTGGAGTGTATTATGCAATTTGGAGTGTGTGTGTGTGTGTGTGTGTGTGTTTTGTGTGGCTGGAAAACCAAGGAAGTCACCACCACCACCGTGAGGTGGTGGCTGCCACCACGTGTCACCGCCGGCCACCACTAGGGTGGCTGTGTGTGAGTTGGTATTAGTGTGTGTGTGTGTGTTATTTGGGGTTTTGCTTTGTAATATTGTATTCGGTGCTAGAATAACGAAAAGAAACTCATAACCACCACCGTGAGGTGGTGGCTGTCGCCTCCAGCCGACGTGTTGGGTGGCAGTGTGCCTTGTTTGTGCTTTGATTCGTTTGGGATGCTTGGACAAAATGGACTAGAACCATAACCACCACTGTGAGGTGGTGGCCGCCGCCGTGAGCCGTCGTTGACCACCACTACCCGAGGTGGTAGTGGGTGGTGCCCGACTAGCGAAACCCTAATGGGCCTAGTGAAACCCTAATGGGCCTAATGAAACCCTAATGGATCTAAGGACTTAGCTTTTGGGCCTATTGGGCTATGATTGGGTTGGAAACCCTAATTAGGGTTTAGAAAACCCTAATTTTGGAATTATGGGCTTGGACTTATCGGGACCTGCATTTTGGGCCATTGGAATTGGATTATGTATTAAGCCCGACCACACCATATGATTTGTCTAGTAGAGTGATGGACTTAATGGATTAAGTCCTTAATGGGTTAAGTGAGAAACACTTAACCATAATCGTCATTTTATGTGAAAACCCTAATTTCACTTGGGCCTTGAGTTGGGCCTTTCTATTGGGCCTTGATGATTGGGTTATTGGTGGGCCATCCAAGAATAATCATATGGACTAGAATATTTAGATGGGCTTTAGGGTAAGGCCTATATGTGAGGTTCAGACCAATTTGGAAAATTGGGCCATAGATGGGCCATAATTAGGCCTTTATGATTATGAGACATTGGGCCATTAGAAATGCCAAATGTTTGGACCGAACTAAGTAGTTGGGCCTTAGAATAAGACCATGTAAAGGTTTGGGCCCAATTTGGAAAGTTGGGCTATATGTTGGGCTTTGATTCACAGTTTGACCTTTGGGCCTTGAGCTTGAATCAAGCTAAGATAGGGGTAAAGTAGCATTTTACCCCAAGCATGGACTTATGGATATGTGTTGGAACCCAATTATAAATTGGGTGTCATTTTGTTGACAGATCGGGAATTTGTCATCCAGCAGCTAGAGTTTTCGTCTGCGGGACTTCAACAGTGCGAGGTGAGTTACCTTCTAGTAGAAGTGGGTCTACGGCCACAATGATGGCCCACTAGTAGGAGTTGTTTGCTTGATGATTGTCATTGTGATAATTATCTAGGTTTGCCACTACCTGTTATGTTTTATGTGCTAGCATGATATGATGTGATGTGATAGTAGTAGTAGGGGGAATAGTCCCCGTGTCATGGTCGTAAGGACCGAAGGGTAGGTCGGGCACCCCAGAATTGTCTGGCAGTATGTTTATGATATGTTATTACATGGTAGTAGTAGTAGGGGTGAAATAGTCCCCGTAGCCGGTTCAGATGAATCGGAGGGTAGGTCGAGCACCCCAGAATGGCTTGACATGGGTAGGTTAGTCACCCCAGAATTGTCTGGCAGAGTAGGTCGAGCACCCCAGAATGGCTTGACATGGGTAGGTCAGGCACCCCAGAATTTCCTGGCAGTATGTTTGTGATATGGTATGTGGTATGATGGGGGAACTCACTAAGCTTCGTGCTTACGGTTTATAGTTTTGGTTTCAGGTACTCGTTTTCAAAGGAAAGGAGCCGGCTTGATCGCAGCACATCACACTATGTTTTCCGTACATGAGATCCTTGGGATTACACTCTGATATTGTTTTATGTTAATATGTTTTGATTATTTACACTTTGGTTTTGACATGAGATGTTATTATGGAGGTTACTATATTAATTGGTTTTATAATAACTTATTTAAAAATAAAATTTTTGGTCTTGAATTTTGGGATGTTACAATTTACTCAATGATTTTGGTTTTATTACATCATCTTCATTGATTTTCTGTGATAATGATTCAACCATCCAACTAGCCAATAATCCTACATTTCACGAACGTACAAATCACATCGAGATCGATTGCCATTTCATTCGTGATAAGGTGCTAGATAAAACAATTTGTCTCATTCCTATTCATACAAATTCACAGCTCGCTGACTTGTTGACTAAACCATTACCTCGATCGAAACTCTTACCACTTATATCCAAGATGGTTCTTCACTCCATTACAAATCCATCTTGAGGGGGGGAGGGGATAATGGATTGATTATTAACGAAAGTTTTTTTGTTGTTATCTTTCGTTAGTAGTTTCTGATAGTATAGTTAGTGATTGTTAGAAGTTAGGTGTATGTTAGTGAGCTAGGCGTATTTTAACTGATGTATATATTCTTTGTATTCCGGAAGATTCAATAAGAAATTTTTTCACCTCTTTCATTTCTCAAATTTTGTTAGGTACACTTATGATTGTTGTGTCCCAAATAACAAATTCAACCTATATAAACAAAACCAACATCATACTATTTTGATTAAATTTTGTTAAGACTTCAAATTTCCATGATGAACGGATAACTATCCACTTCTATCTCGTTTAAATAAAATTAACTTACTCAAATAACCTCAAAATCAGCCCTAACATTTTTAAACGTCCTAAAATCGCACTGAATCATCCTTGACCCCAATGACCCTAACCAAGACCTAAATAAATATAAACTATCTTCCAAATATTCATAATATCAAACTAACTAAAACCAATAAAATTACAAGGCATAACTTCGAAGGTCCAAAAAATCGACTACTGTTTGGAAGCATCGGGTACTCAAATGGTGAAGGCATCACACATTCATCACCATTAAAGATAACTTTTCTAGGGAACACCCATCCTCCTTTAAAGGTAAAGATCCCAGGATCTTTGTGTAACAACATCTCTGTTTGAACGTTTCCTCCATCACCCGATTGAAGTAACATGTCATTGTAATGCTCAATTCCATAAAATACCCCTGAATCGTCTAAAGAAAACAAATCAAAAGCCAATAAGTTCAAAAGCATAATGTTTATTTTTGTATTTGATAAGCATCGTCATTAGATCAACTTACTTATACTACCGTATTGATTGAGTGGTTTGTAGTAGAAACTGAAAACTTGTGCTAAACTTTGTAGATTCGGATGTAACACGACCAAATTCCATTGACTGTAGTTTTTGACGACATTAAGGTTGTTTATCGTGATCTTTACTCGCCAATATTCTTTGTAACTTAACTTTACATGCCAATGCACCCTTATCGGACACATATGTGTCGAACATTGTACCATTGGTGGCGCTTGTTCATTGTGAGGTAGCCGTGACACCGTATGTAATTGACCATGCCTATAATAATAATAATAACAACAACAACAACAACAACAACAACAACAACAACAACAACAACGCTTAGTGTTTGTTACACATTTTAAAACTAGACTGTACTATACAAGTTTTTTAGGGTTGTTTCCCATGACAAGGACAAAGAAGGATTCATGTCTTTTGCATAGCCAAGAGATTGAGACTAAATCTATGTTCTGCTTTTTCATGGGACAAAAAAATTATATTTTTGTCTCATTGATATGAGTACAATGCACGACAAATACACTATAATATGTCATGTCATGTTTTGAAATAACATACCTCACACAATTCGATCCAGGTTCGCCTTGACATGCGCAACTGCAAATCGGACAAGGCACCATCGTCTCGCTATAGAAAGAAGATAGAGAAACACAACATTTTGGGGTCGATGATGCAAGAAAGGGCGAATATGTACACGTTATATTCCATGTCCCTGTCACAAACATTACAAGATTTATCATAAACTTTTTTGGAAAAAAAAAATAAGTGAAGCCTTAAAAAGTGTCATTCTTTTATCAACTAGTGAGCTGGCTCACACCGCAATGTCCCATGCCGATTATTTGAGAGATTAATAAGATATACAACGACCTATTGGGTAGTTAACAAGAAGTCTATCTATATTAAAATTAAAACTCCTACACTGCAACCGATGAACTAAAACTCCTAATTTTTTTGTAAATACACCACCCCGAAACCAACTATGGTAAACGAAAAAAACATGAGTCCTGAAAATTGACTCACCAAGAGCTTGTGTTTGTCTACGCCCATGATCGATAACAAACTTTGTTGGTGGCACCTTCGTAGCGTTCCCACAAGTGTACCCTGGGAGGCCGATCTTAAAGTCATACGGCATCGTCTCGATTGAGCCAACGTTCATTTGAAACGCGGCCATAGAATTTGCGGGTTCTTGAGTAAATGACGATAATACCCCTCCCTTGCAACAATTTTGAACTTGCATATTGTAAGGAGTCCCGGGCAAAAGGTCAACAATCACCGGCTCCCTTTCGCAACTATGTGGGAGTTGTGGTTTACCCAAATATTCGGAACAGTTTCCTTGCTCGGTTGCCTCTGCTCCCCTCATGTCCCAAATTACTTCTTTGCCACTCCATTTCCAACTAAGCTTCCATCCGGGAGGCTCTATGTGACGATATAATTGGTAATTGTAGATTGAAACTAGTATCTAAAATTCAATAAAAAAAATCATAAAGGTCAAGAATTTACACAAAAGATCCGATTTTTATGAGTAATATATCGCTTTCGTTATGGGGTTTTCTGTACATGAGTAAAAATAGGAGATTTTATGGTGTAAAATGTATATTGGAGCTATATTTTATATGTATCTATGTATTATATTCTTTGTAATCTTTGACTTCGAAATTTTCCGACACATGGTAGGAATTAGCCAATCCATGCAAAAAAGTACTACCCATTAATGCATCAATCCATCACATGCACATGCATTTGTACATGATAGCATAAACACACACACTGATTTCACTCTCGAAAAACACACATTACTGGAAAGATTGAAGAAACTTAGACTTACATCCTGTGTTCCGTCATTCTGCTGCCGGAGATCCCATTTGATGGTGATGTTGGCATTGGGATCCAGTGAATCGTATCCACCTGCATTGAATACTCGTTAAAACAAACATAAATCTCAAACAAATTTTTTAAAAATCGAATGAATCGATTTGAACATATATAAGTGACAATGAAACAGATAACTAAAGGGTGGTGCTTACATGTCGGAGATAGAAGATCGAAGAAGATGCATGAAACAAGAATGAAGATCAAAATCAAAGAGAAACCCATTAATCAATAATCATGGATCGATGAATGATCTGATATGAAAAGAGGGGTTAAAGAATGAAATTGTGAAAAATTTATGGGGTTTGAGTGTGGGTTTAGTCTTCCATGAGAGATAGAGACTCCCTTACCCTTATTTTGGGTACTGCATTGAATGTGTAAATTGGGAATAGGAATTTGGAGAGAATGGAGAATTGGAGATATTCAATGTCACGCGTTTCCATCCGCTTGGCTTCCGTTTTGGGTATTCTCTTCGTTTTTTATAGTTACCATATTTGCTAGTGCTACACCCCAAATTAATATAAGTTACCATATTTGCTAGTGCTACACCCCAAATTAATATAAGAGATATAAATGCTTTATTTTATGTTTTCCTTCCTTCCATTTATAAAAAAGAATTAAAAATAAAATGATTTTTATTTTTTTTTAAATGACAAATTTAATCTATTTCTAAACTACTTCTTAAATTCAACTATGTACGACGAGACTTGAACCATCAACTTCAATAAAGGACGATAACACCAAAATGACTTTATTTTATAAAAGTAAAACAAAAACAATTATGTTTATTGCAAAAAAAAAAAAAATACACACTTTTGAAAACAGTCGTCTTAAAACATGACAACATAAAATGATTATTTATACTACAATAGTTTAATTTTCAGCTACTAAGTATTATTTTCTAGTTTTCAACTATTAACACATTTCATATATATTACAATAGGTCAGTATAACAACCGTAGAGACATACTTCACCCTAATTTAATACGACATGACACTTAATTTGGTCTCACAATTTTCAATAGGCCTTCATATATATTTCAATAAGTCAGTATAACAACCGTAGAGACATACTTCACCCGTATTTAATTCGACATGACACTTAATTTGGTCTCACAATTTTCAATAGGCGAGTTAAATAAACATTTGATACATATTTCTATAGATGCGTGTAGTTTTTATTCATCGATGACAATAGTGTATTAAATTTTCCAAACTTCTATTAATTGTTTTTTATTTCAAAAATAACTAAAAGAATATAGTTTTGTTATAATCGAATGTTTTTTTTCGTGATCTGTTAATATGTTCAAGTTTTATTTTGTAAACAAAAGATTCAACATAAATTATTAAACTGCCTACTAAATATAAGGTTATACATTTAAAATCAAAATTTTGGTATGACAACTGATTTCTTTTTGGTAAGAAATAAGAAAAGTACAAGTGTTGATTTTACGTTTTTTCATAAATATGTGACCGATTAAATAAATAATGATAGATTACGATATGAAAAGGAAGTATCGATATTTACAAATATAGCTAAACCATGTATTATTATCAGTGTTGCAGAAATCGGCCTAATCGGCCGATTAATCGCTAATCGGACCTCCACCGATGAAATTTATTGTTAATCGGTCACTATAATCGGGTTTGGTCAATACAGGTCAAAGTCGGAGTTAATTGGACCTAATCGGACCTAATCGGACTTAATCGTACCTAATCGGGTTTGGTCAACGCAGGTCAAAGTCGGACCTAATCGGCCCTAATCGGACCTAATCGCCGATTAATCGCTTTTTTGTAGGATTAAAACTATATTTATAGATTTTTGAATAATTTTCTTAACAATTAATAGTCACCGATTAATCTTCCGATTAATCCCCGCCTAGCCGATTAATCCCTAATCGCTAGTCCACCGATTAACGACCGATTAGCGATTTCTGCAACCATGATTATTATAATATCATTTTTCATTTATACCTTTTACAGTCATTATATCTTTACTTTATTATTATTATTATTATTATTTTGTCTTCTGAAATGTTAAATGTTTTGTTATGTAAGAGAAAAAAGCGTCAAATTGTTTGTGGACTTGTTTTCCCCTTATGGGCTACTTGGTAACGTTGGGTTTTTTCACCTAGTTCTTGGCATTCTTTCTCCTTTACTATTTCATTAGATATTTGAGTGTGTTTTTTTTAACCAACAAGCAAGGAAATTCTATAAAAAGAAAAGCTAGTGAGAAGCTAGAATTACAAGTAGCTTAGGTAGGACCATTACACCAAATAGACCAACATAGTCTCACCTCTCCTCCCCTTATTTTTCAACCAAAAGAAGGTAAAAACTATACCTTACTATTGAGACTTTGAGTGCTGGTCACCTTTTTATTAACAACTATGTCATTTTCGGTAGCTCCAAATCACCCATATTATGGCAAGACTGATAACGTTTATGATTTTGCATCTGTTCGAATCAACAACGATACCTAGGGATCTAGAACAGGCTCTTGATTGTGTTATGGATGAACAATATGGTAACTTGACACCGTCTAAGGAAAGAATACGCAACATACTTTGTCTTTGGACATTCTAGAAATAGATGTTCTTCGGTTTCTTGTTGCATGTTGCATAACGGACAAAGATTAGATCGAATATTTACCCCTTTATAAAGGAGATTCGTCCGAGTAGCGGGCCTTATTAATTTAGTTCTATATGCCAACAAATTCACTTTCATTATTTCATAGGGACTAATTAGTTTCAAATGGTTTTGATTTGCATCTTATCCAAATATGTTGTCAATGAGAATTTAGTTTCTTTATTTTGGTCATCTAGAATTGATCTCTAACCATCATTTGGTTGTTTATTAATAATATAATTAAGTTGTCTCTTTCTCCCGACCAATGTACACAATCATCCCAATCAATTGTGAAACCATGTTAAATGCTCGTGTTTTGATGAGTTTATATATTTGTGTGGCCTTTACATTTTCTTTGTCTTAGTTTATCATTCACCATGTTGAGATGCATGACATTCTAATTCGCTTACGATATGGTTTGCTTGGTAGGGTTTACATTGTTTTTGGCGCTATTTAAAAGTTAGTTTATCAATAAGTGATCTCAAATAATTTATCAAATAGATAGTTTGTAACCTATGATAAGATACTTTTATGGTCTCACTAAATACCAAAATTGCAATAATCTTAAAAAAAAAAAATAACCTAACTTGTGTGCGCCAACGAGATCCTTAGTCACTAGTCACTAATTAGATCCATTAAATAAAAAAGAAACCATAGCATGTAGCTTCAAAACAAGTATACTCATTCATATATATAGAGATCATTTACACTTGAAAGCTATTTACATTTGTAGATGATTTCATGCGCTGGTCATTTATCTCGAGAAATCATATCTACATAATATATATATACCATTCATAAACGAAGAACAATGCATGGGGGAAGAAGAAGGTGTTTAATTTGACATCGATCATATCGTTACAAAACCAACCTGTTAATTAATTATTCTCGATTCATGAACGTCCACCAACGGAATCCCATTTTGGATTAATATTATAGCTGTTTTGGTACTGAGGGCTTCTTGCTAACGGACTTCCCGGAGGACTTTCCCGATCATACCTGTTGTTGCTATTCCCTAAGTTGTTATAATCATCGTAATGCGAACCTCTTTGATAAGCCATATGCCCCGAACCTCTGCTTGATCGAGCGTACGGATTTGATGAATGTGGACTGTGTTCATTTGAGTACCTGTAATAATCCGGTACACCGGAAGCTCTTTGCCGGAGATATTGCTCAGGGCCAGGATTTAGTGGTGGTTTGGGAGATGGGTGAGGAAGGTGGCCATGGTGTGGGTGGGAGTGGGGGTGGTACGGTGATGGTGGTGGTTGTGGTTGCGGTGGAGGAGGCGGTGGTGGTTGGCGGTAACTTTGGAGTTGGTGGTGATAATTAGGGTATTGCTGGTTGGTGAGGCTCAGGTTCATATTTGATCTTGGGCTTTGGGTCTTATGGCTGGTCGGAAGATTGCCGGCGAGATTACACAAGCTAGGGGAGCTATGTGCTCTTGTCATTGAGCCACCAAGTTTACGGAAACCAGTGACTTGATCAGGGTTTATAGCGTCAGGAGCCATGGTGGGGATGGCGGACTCCGGTGGTGTTCTAGGGGAAGAGCAAGCGGAAGAAATGGTGAAGGTCGTTTGACTGGTGTTAATTGCAGGTGGTCGGAAGTTGCTGTATATTGGGGTTGAACTAACGATGATGCCGTTGATGGAGTTGATGTATCGTTGCTCAAGAGAATGACGATCCATTGCTCCGATCTGGTTTTCGATGATAATCGGGCTTGCCGGAAAAAGAAAGGTCCGGAGCCTTGGCGTTCCGACGAGATCCTGGCGATCGTATTCTTCGAACATGTGGCGGAGATCTTCATCGGATTTTACGGTGACTAAGGCGTCAAGGTCCTCGGGAATCAACTGGTACTTTAGGATCACATCACCTTCGAGTAAACTGCTAAGCTTCCTCATAAGTTCTGAGATTTAGAAATAAGAAAAAAAATCTCAGAATTAATTTCAGATGTTCTTCATACGTTCTAACAAAATGGCGATTCTAATCATTCTATCGGCATACGCTATCGTAATTCCTATCGATTGACATTGTTGTAATCATCTTTGATATATCCCCAATTAAGCATATCGGGTCCGATTTACGTAAGTTTTTTTACGACACAATGATAAAATAAGGAAATGGGAGCCTAATTTCACAAATTTCTTCATCATTACTTCAATGATTGTTTGTTTTCGATAGATCACGAAGATACAAACGACCGGAATGAATAATCTGTGATATAAAAATCATCATAACATTACCGAATTTTGGTTCGTGGTTAAATTAGGGTTAGAGAATAATGAATACCGGTGAAGATAATATTGCGAGGAACGGAGATGACGCGAGTCTCGCCTCCGACGTACTTGAGGTGGCCGTCGGAAGGGCGAGGAAGGATCCTGCCGCCATGGCTGCAGAGAAACTTGACCTTGTTTCTTGGTGACCCAGGAGCCGATCCCGGTGCCGAATTCGGCAAGGAACTGGAGATCGATTCAACGTCACCGGACGTCGACATGTTATAGAGCGTCAACGTATCGAATATGTATAATACGATGTATATATATACAGGAATTTATGTGTATTATAAAAATAAATAAATAAAATTGTTTATGAAATCCACAGAAATTTGGAAGATTCAGAATTGCGAACAACTACCCATGCATATTTATTTTACTTTAAATTCATTTTTTCACCAACTATGAACTATATGAAGTACTTAAAACTTAAAAGATGTGTTTAAATGCAAGAATAAAAAAAACTTACAAATTTTAATCAATTAGGGAGGAGGGAGTCGTTCCCATCCCAACCCACTGAACTCACTTCCGGATCACTTTTTCTCTTTTATTTTTTTTTTTCATTTTTCTCAACCCACAACACACGGAAACCTTATCTTTTTGAACTCACTCAACCCACTCAATTAAATAAAATACAAAACAATCAAATGTAAAATCTTAATTAAGAATATAGAGTTACCGACGGTACCACTCCCGCTTCAACGAGTTGGTTAATTGGTTTCACCAATCCACTTCATCATCTCTCTCTACTTTCTCTCTCTCATTTTCTCTTGTACCATGTATTTTAAAACTTGTACCTTAGTTGTTTTATATTTTTTTTAATTGAGTGGGTTGAGTGGGTTGAGAAAGATAGGATTTCCGTGTGTTGTGGGTTGGGAAAGATAAAGAAAAATAAAAGAGAAAAAGTGATATGGTAGTGGGTTCAGTGGGTTGAGAGGGAACGACTCCCTCCTCCCTTATAAGTATTATGTAATCCTCATCCGTAAACATATAGGTTAGAGTACATAATAAACGTAGTTACATTATTATCTATTTTTAGTACTACCTTTTTTTTTTTAATAAAGACATCAAATACTAATAAATCTACTTTAATAAATGAAGATCCATTTTGGCTCATGTCAATCTCTCATAAGTTTTTACACTTATCATATTGTGGTATTTTTGAAATAAATAATATCCACATGTCAATTTCTAAGTTTTTTTTTATTTTTAAAATTAAAAAGCCACATAATACATATATTTATATAAGTAAAGTATTAAATATAATAAATATGATCTTAAATTGCCATAAATATGTTTTTTCTTTATTTTAAAATTTAATTTTAAAAAATACTTAATGTTTACATTTTGATATTTAATTTTATTTAATTAATTCATGTGATACATGGATCTCACACCTAGTTACAAAATGTATTATATGGAATGAGTGCACGTTGAGAGGGGTTTTGTTTTAAAAAAAAAGACATAACAATTTTTTATCATACATAACGGTTTATATTTTAAAGAATTATACAAAATACATATTATACAATATTCTAAATCATAAATTGTTGTTAATAACAAAAAATTATGTATAAATCATTTATTTTAATAATAAAAAAAAGTCTAATTACATTGGTAGTTACGTTGGAAAGAAAATAAGAAATGATGACTTCATGCTTTAAGTACATGGAAATAGTGTATTTGTTTGGATTTAAACTCACTTACATATAACACATAAACGAGTTGCATTAAAGCTAGGTCATGAATTATTATTATTTTTTATTTTTTATTTTTTTTATTTTATTTTATGGAAGCCAATTTAAAATTGTCCAAAGTATTATAAGTTATTTGATTTTTAATGCTTGTGGGGGGTAATGTAATGTTAAGGACGTAAGGTTGGCCAAAAGACATTAAACCGCATCTTAAGCTTTGCATAACATTATGTTGATTTTTTATGTATATATTCTTCCATTTCATAAAAATTTCCTAGAGTATTATTTCGGATGTTACACTAGGGTTTTATATCATCTATGAAGCCTTAATGAACAATGAGGATGTCATGGTATGCATTTTATAGGTGATTGACTCTAGATCGATATCTAAAGAAGAGTTTAAGGGCATGTTTGATAGTTGTTGTCAGGAAAAGTGCTGGAAAAAGGTTAATACCTTAAAAAACCATTATTTATACATCCACATTTCGATTTAACCCCAATGTTTTTTTGTTACTTATTTACCACCGTTAAAGAGATGACGTTCCATTTATTAAACCTTACATGGTCACTAATCGATAATCAAGTCCTTGTCGGTTGCCTCTTTTCATTCGGGTACTAATTCTTGGGAACGTGCATAGTAGCCACCACCTTTATCAGAACGACTGAACAACAAGGGGTTATCCATATACAATCGTCGTCAAAATAGGGTTTTTGAAGGTTTTCAAGGGTTTGAAACACCATTGTAGAAGTGACGACAAGTTTGATGGCAGAATCATCATGAAGAAGGAAGAGTAAAGAATCAAAGATGACAAAGAAGACGAAGATCAGATACGTACGTGATGAAGAGTCTGATTATGATCTCTTGACTTAGGATTGTTGGATGTTGAACCAGATAACTTCAATCCTACATCTAACTTGTGTGACGACCCTTTTCTTAACATTTTATATGATGATAAAATGTTAAGAATAATCAATAGGAAGGGGACGATGAATCTAATGTTGAAGATATCCACCAGGTAGAGCATGAGCATGAACAACTTGAAGATGAAAATGACCTGGAAGTGGGTGTCAAGTTTTGGGTGCACAGTCCTACCGTCAAGTGGAACAAAATGAAGCCTACAATTGGTAAGTTATACGAGTCTCCAGCTCAGTTAAGGTTGCACTAACTAACTACGTCGTAGCTAATGGATACCAACTTTGGTTCATGAAAAGTGATAAAAGCAGGGTAATTGTTAGGTGTGGGGAAAAAATGAAAAAAAAACATGTCCTTTTAGGATCCATGCTTCATGGAAGTACAACGAACATACTTTTCAGATAAAATCTATGGTTGAAACACATCTTTGTGCAAGGAATTGTAATTTTGGACACTTGGTTAGTTGTAATTGGTTAGCAAAACACTACAGTAAGGATATAATTAGGAAGCCCAAAATGACATTGCTTGAGATGATGGAGGATGTCCTTACAAAATACTCTGTTAAAGTGTCAAAGGGGCGATGTCATAGAGCAAGGTAAGGGCAAAGGAAATGATAGAAGGTAAACTAGAGGAACACTCTGCTAAGGTATGGGATTATGCCAATGAAATCCTTAGATCTAACCCTGAAAGCACATGCAAAGTGGGAGTGACATTAAATCCAGATGGCATGAACTATTTTCAACGTTTTTATGTATGTTTTAAGTCATTGAAAGATGGTTGGAATATAGGGTGCAGACGTGTGATTGGATTAGATGGATGTTTCCTAAAAGGACAAATCAAAGGGAGATTTTGACTGCTATTGGAAGAGATGCTAACAAACACATGTCTCCAACTGCATGGGCTATAGTAAACGTAGAGAACAAAGAAATTTGGACTTGGTTTTTACAGCTTTTAGTTGAGGACTTGGGTGTTGTGGGTGGAAGGGGTCTAGTTGTCATTTCAGATCAACAAAAGGTAAACATAAATACTATACAAATTCTGTCATGTATTCATTTATATTGTCTAACCAATATTAATGTTTTATTAACTTGTTCAGGGACTTCTATAATATGTGAAAGTTATCCTTCCACATGTTGAACATAGGCAGTGTGCACGACACATTTATGCCAACTTCAGGAAGAGGCATACAGGTTTAGAGTTGAAAAACTTGTTCTGGGATGCTGCAACTAGTTCACATGAAGGGGATTTTGTGGCTAACATGGAAAAATTTAATAAAATCACACCAAATGGATATGCTTGGTTGATGCCTAACAATCCACAATCATGGTGTAGGGCATTTTTGCATAAGGGTATGCATGAGAGGCAGTGGAAAATGGAATTTATGAGTCCTTCAACTCCATGATCATAAATATTAGGAAAAAAACCACTTCTAACAATGTTAGAGGAAATCAGAATCTATTTCATGGCTAGGTTTTACTATTTAGCTGATAAAGCTTCTACATGGACAACTGAATCTTGTCCAGCTATCATAGAGAAAATGAAGGAGTTTGGAAAAGAGATGAGGTAAATACTTACCATTAAGTTGTTATTACTTACCATTAAGTTGTGCTTTGTACTTAACATTAAATTATAATTTATAATTTTTATTTATAGGAACTAGAAAGTGATAGCTACTAGAGGGTCTGTATTTGTATTTGAGACAAAGTATGGGTATGCAGCTTACAAAGTGGATTTGGAACAACACTTTTGCACATGTAGACTATAGGAGATATATGGAATACCATGTGTGCACGATCAAGTAGCAATAAACTACACTCACATGAATCCAACTGGTTTTCTAAGCATTTGGTTCCAATAAGAGAAATTTATGGTTGGATATACCACAAATATATCACCATTGAATGGAAGCAACATGTGGGCACCCACTGACTATATATAGCCATTAACTCCATTGACAAGGAGAATGCCTGTTAGACCGAAAACCAAGAGAAGAAGTCATGTGTCTGAGGTCAATGATTCCAAGTTCCCAACTGTCAGAGCTAGAGTTTGTAGGATTATTAGGTGTAGCAGATGTTTGCAATTGGGATATAACTTGAAATCTTGTAAGAATGAGCAAGTGATGAGAGACTATGTGCCACCTAAAAAAACAGGAAAGACATGGAAGGATATAAATGGTGTACCAACTAGGGATGGAGAGGGAACTTCAAAATAAAGGAAATTTAAGCTTATAGTGAAAAGAAAGAAGAAGAGAAACAAGGATGGAGAAGGATCCTCAAATCAAGCAACTGTTAAAGCAAGTACAATGGCTGAAAATGTCCAAGCAACTGTTGAAGATGATGTTCAAGCAAGTGAAAATGCAACTATAAATGTTGCTATTCAGGAAACTGTACAAGAAAGTGTAAGTATTGAAGCAACTACAGATGATTCTATTCAGGAAACTATACAAGAAAGTGTAGGTATTGAAGAAACTGCATATGATGTTATTCAGGGAACTGTACCAGAAAGTGTAGGTATTGATGAAATTGCAGATGATGCTATTCAGAAAACTGTACCAGAAAGTGTAGGTATTGAAGCAACTGTAGATGCTGCTATTTGGGAAACTGTACAAGAGGATGATCATTATCTGGAAACCTTAGATGAAATGTTTCAGGAGCCCCCCCCCCCCTTCCCAGAAAAATGAGTCGAACCTCCAATCATTGTTTACAATGATGATGTATTGATGTTGTAGAAATTTGGTTATGAACCTCATGAGAATGCACATGCTTTGGAAAGGGTAAATGTGATGCCTGACCCTGTGTCACCAGTGGAAATGGTATGCCAAACTCTATTTTTAATTTCTTATAAATGCCTCATTTGTGTTATAATTCATAAATGCATCGTATGATACAAGATGTAAATGTTAATGAAATTGAAGATCACTTGGAAGCATACTTAGAAGAGGATGTTAATGAGATTGAAGATAACTTGGAAACAGTATGCCAACCTTTACTTTAAATTCCTTATAATTAATATGTGATTTAAAAAGGGTAATTAACTGCATCATTTGTTACAGGGTGCAGATGTTAATGAGATTGAAGATCACTTGGAAGCATAATTAGAAGGGGATGTGATACTTAACCTTGTGCCACCAGTGCAAGGGGAAGTTGCTATACAATATTTAGATGCTAATACTTGGGTTAGTGAAGATGATGAGGAAACTGATGGGGAGAATGAATTCATTGAATATATATAAGTTTTTGGGAGGCCTAGGAAAAAGAAGATTTATGAGAGAATTGTGAAGATCAAGCTGAAGAAAGCAGATTATGATAAGGAATGAAGGGGTTCTAGTATCGAGAAACCAATTAATTTGGAGTATGAGTATTTAGGAGGGGGTATCATGGTCACTATGTATATTTCTTGCCCTTTTTGTTAACATTGCATCAACTTTTGGTAACGACCATCCAATTGTATATCAACATCTACTATTCAGTTAGGCCTTTTTGAACATTGGTAGTTAATGGCCATTTGAAAGATTGCTGGGCAATTGGATGTTTGGTTCTGATTGTAATGCCCCCTTTTATGTTATTAGGAATGCAAGTATTTAAAGTACGTTGCCTTTTCTTGTCATTTCACTTACCATAAGTTAATTTTCATTCTAGTTAATGTCCTTTACTTGCTTACACAAGTTTTAGTACATTACCATAACTACATTGTCATTGCAATGAATCACTATAACGCAATACCAAATCACATGGGTAATAAATAGCATTAGATTACCATCAAGATAATTTTACATAAACATTACAATTCGAAATCAACAATTAACCAACTAGTTCTTACACCAAACCAAAATAACAAACCTACAACACCTTTACAACAACTACTTTTACTGCAATGCCTTAACCCTACCAAAATACAAAAAATTACAATTGCTTTAACCTAGGTGAATACATTAAAATACAATGCCAATTATAAGAATTGCTCCAATAATCACCAAAACAAGCTTCAACAACATGATCACCTGCAGTACACCATTGGCAACAATTTTGTTATAGGGTTCCCTTTCATTAGCATAAAACTCCAACTTATTTGTATCAAGCCACTTGAAATATTTACACCCTTTTTTGGTACCCTGCCAATAAAATCTTCATTTAATAACTTTTGAAATATAACAAAATTGGAAAACAAAATCCCTTAATTTTACCTTGTAGTTAGGGCATGCCTTGAAATTTCTTCCTATGTTTTTATCGGTTCTTGAAACTGAGTATTGCAGTTGATCACCACAATCACACTTGGTGCGATAAACTGGTTTGATGAAAGAAGATGTTGAAGACGAAGCCATGGGGAAGAAGACATATGATGCGTGAGGAAGAACACCGAACCGAGAGTGAATGAGAGGTTTTTAGGCAAATAATGTATGTAAAGAGTTAGGGTTACCTGATAAACCGATGACACCGGCTAGCATTGACTTTTCATAAAAAGTCAACACAATTAATGGAAAATAAGTAACAAAAAAATATTGGAGTTAAATCGAAACGTGGATGTATAAATCATGGCTTTTTAGGTATAACCCTCTGGGAAAGTGTTGTCTGGGAAATTTTACTAATTGGGAAAGAAATCATGTTTTTTTATTGTACATCTGACTGACTGTGATGAATGATGAAAAATGATCATTCAACCATAAAGATATGGTTTTGAGGCTTTCTGGAAAAGACATCGTACCGGGAAAGTCTCTTTTTTTGTGCAAATCAAACAATCTTTCCAGCCCATTTGTAACACCCCGATTTCCTGGATGTGGAAACTTTAGGATTTTACTGCAATTTGAAGGGCCTACTCGACAAGTTGGTTGGCCCCAACTCGTCGTGTAGGAGTTGATCAGGACGCGTGGGTTAGGAAGCCAACTCGTCGAGTTAGAGGGATGGACTCGACGAGTTGAGGCTGTGTGATGAAACCCTAGTTTCTCGGATGTGCAACATTTTTAAAGGACCTTAAGTCCTTTACCCCACCTCCCTTACCACCTTTCATATCTAGAGAGTAACCCTGGCAAGCTAAGTGTCTGTGTGAGGCCAAAAATGTGTTTTTGGAGCATTCCTTGAAGAGGCTTGGAACGAGGGAAAGCTTGTAGATCCAGAATCCACATCGTGTTGGCATCCAGTGGGAGGTAAAAAATCTCTACCTTGGCTTTCCATTCCTTAGATCTCTTCTTATGTGAGTTTATGGGCTTTTTGGTGCAAAATGAGGGCCACTCTCGAGTTAAGCTTGCCCAGAGGGTATAAGTTTCATATATGTATTCTCTAGGTCCCATGTACATAAAGCTTCAAGCTTTATGAAGCTTTGACCTGTCTTCATGTCCTAAACCCCTTCTTGAGCTTAGTTTTGGGTGATTTAGCCTTGGGAGGCCTTGCATGATCTTAAAGTTAGCAACTTTACGTGGTAACTCCATCCTAGGAGGTTGGATATGGAGTTTGAAGCATTGGAAATGACTGGAATGAGTTTAATGAGAAAAGGTTGAGGAACTCGACGAGTTGGGCAACCAACTCGACGAGTTGAGTTGGGTTTTCCCGTTTCTGGTTTTAGAGTGAACTCGACGAGTTGATGAGTTAGGGTTTTTCCCCGGTCTTCTAGACTATGTATGGACTCGACGAGTTGGCTAGCAACTCGGCGAGTTGACTCGGGTTTTTGTGATTTCTGAGTATTGAGGACTCGACGAGTTCATGAGCTGCACTCAACGAGTTGAGTCAACATGGACTGTTGACTTGAGTGTTGACTTCCGTTGACTTTTAGGGTTGGGTCAAGTTGTGGGCTTTGGAGAGCATGGAGGGGTAAAATGGTCTTTCACCCTTTTCGGAGATTTAGTAGAGGAGTTAGCTTAACGTTTTATATAATTGTTAAGTAGAGATGATTGTGATATGTGTAGGCGGAGTTTAGACCAGCAGTTCGAGTGTGGGATATATTGCTTTACTCCGCGAGGTGAGTCTTCTCACTATACTTACCTGCGTGGTAATCATTGTGTGACCGGAGGGTCTTATGTGCTTATACTGAGTTATGTGATATCATGCATTTTGTCTTTGTGATTTATGTTGTATATTACTCCTGTGCCTTATTGAGTTATTCTGTTCTTGTGAGACCGGAGGGTCTTCACCGAGATACCGGACTGGAGGGTCTGTCCCGAGCTGTGAGACCGGAGGGTCTTCACTGAGACACATGACTGGAGGGTCCTTATCGAGATATAGCCATGAGAGGCTAATTATTTATGTGTGGTATATTGGGGAACTCACTAAGCTTTGTGCTTACTGTGTTGTGTGATATGTGTTTCAGGTACTTTTCAGGATCGCGGGAAGGCACCGGCTTGATTGTACACACTAGTTAGAGATCATGATTTTGAGGATTCTGGGATTTTATCAAACATTGTTGACTTGTGTTTTGACAACTTATACATTTGTGGTTTTTGGGAAATGTGATATAGAGTTTATTTGATTTTAAAAATTATTTGAAATTTGGAGTGTTACAAGTTGGTATCAGAGCCTTGGTTTGAGGGATTCGGATGTACTTTCGGGTATGTCTGGACTCAAACTGAGGATTTGAGAAAAATTTTCTAAAAAGAAATGATTTTTTCTAAAACGAGTAAGAGTTTAAAGAGAAAACGAGACGGAGCAGTGTGTACAATCAGCCAAAGCCCGAGCGGTGATTTCCCAAAGTACCATTACTTGTTTACATTATGAGATATTTATGAGATAGTAGAGCTGCATGCTAGAGGATATGCTAGGTATTTCAGAAATTAGGGCTAGAGTTGCCTGATTCATGATGCCTTAGCCTAGGGGATGCTATTGATTGATATTATCTGTTATTTGCTCTATGTATGTGCTGAGTAGGAGTGCCTAGCAGAAATCTTTCAGAGAGAGCTTTGAGTAGAGGAGTAATCTAGGAGAGATACCTAGATGTGCGTTTGAGGAATATATTGAGAGAGTAGTTAGATACCACGAGAGGTAGGGTTGCCTGAGTTCGGTGATGCCTTTTGATTTGTGGATAGAGCGAGTGGAGTTGTATGCTAGAGTGGCTTTATGTGCTGGTGGAGGTTATTCGATGCCTAAATGCTTCTTGCTTTGTGCTTTGTGGAACTCTTGATGATGGGAGTCAGCTACTAAGTGAATATGACGATATTCAGGAGGTAGATGGCTGGCATCATGAAAAGTTCTTCAACAGCTGATGGCAGAAAAGTGTGAGAACCTAGGAGAGCCTAGGGAGAAATTTTAGTGCGATGAGTACGCTGTGTAGAGGTGAGTATTCGCTGGAGAGAGAGCATGTGTGTAACGACCCACTTTTTCAAAAGAAAATTTTCATTTTTGATTAACCAAACACATCTCCATAAATTACGAAATCCAAATATAATTGTTTTCAAAACTCATATCAATTACAAATTTATTTAAAAACATCAGAGTGTCTCATAAAACGCCTGAGAGAGTGCACGCCGCGCCATCAAGCCTTGCTCTTGCCCTTGGGCTCGGATGTACCTGAAACAAATCCACAAACTGTAAGCTAATGCTTAGTGAGTCCCCCAGAGCATACCCCACACACAATCCATATAACACATATCATATTAGATATAAAAGCTACATATACCACATAAGCCATGCATATAGACATATAAGGATGCCGTGTAAACCTTCTGTTGTGATTATAGAACATGGTTTGGCATGCGGAATTAAAGATTGCACAATGAACATGGTGATTTGGGTGTTCAAGAGATGTATTGATTGTATATGGTGTTACACAAAAAGGATGTAGATCTAGACTACATAAATAACACACACTTACACACTCACTTTTACATCTCTCAAGCACACCTCTACAAGTGGACTAAACCCACCTTATATAGAGGTGTTTACATGTCTCTCTCTCACTCTCTAATACTCATTAGTCAAAAGGCTAATGCACCACATGCAAGTAGGTTTTACAAAAATCAAACATTACAAAGTCATTCAAGGAAAACTTTGTACCCCAACATTCTCCCCCTCAAAGTTAGGAATGAATGACCCACTTCAAATCTTCCAAAATCGAGCAACTACGCGATCCGAGCCTCAAGGGTGACACATGTCGAAATGAACTTCAATCTTC